GGGTACTTTCCCGCTTGCAAATGTTAATTGGACAGTCCTTACGGACTTGCCCTCCCGAGGTTTGTAGAGGTATAAACCCTCTACAGCGTGATTGTGGAGCTTAAGATCCTCCAGCAATTCACCCTCTGAGTACTCGGAGGGGACGCCATAAATGACGACCCGTTCCGTCTTGTTGAAGGTGGACATGGCCGAGTCCACCTTCATCCCACACAGTGCGGTTTGGTTGGCAGCATAAACCGCATCTGCCAGGAACTCAAAGTTCAGCCGCACGTTGCCGTTGGCCAGGACTTTGACCTCCGGAAGAGAGCTATACTTCCACTCTTTCCGGATGAAGTCGCCGATGACCTTCGACTTCGTGCTGCCGAAAGTTTTGCCCCCGCTTGGCTTCACTATTACAATGTTGGAGAACTCCGGCCTTGCTACCCTGGGTTGCATGGTAGCAGCTGGCCGACTCGCAACATCGGCATAGCTAACCTTGGTGGATTGTTGAGAGGCCATTTTAGCTGAAATTGAAGGTTTGATTAGTACAAATAAATATAAGATACAATACAATACAAGACAGATCAGATAGCTATCAAGAATGCCTTGCAGACTGTGCAAAAATTGATAGTATGAAAAATGAAAAGAGAACAACGAAACAAAACGAAACCTAGTGAAAGCTTTGTAGGACAGCTTGAATTTCTTCCGCCAAAGAAATTGTCGGCCGCCCAAAGAAAAGATAAAAGAAAAGAATAAAAAGGAACGAACTCACAGTAATTAGTGGCAGGTGTCAAAAGTTAATTGAGTTATACTTAATTAATACTTGACAGTAATCCGCTAATCCAATTTCACCAATCCAGACTAGAGAGACAGCTAATTAGTTGTTCACAGTACGAGTGTCGAACTAATTATGGTGTGGCTCGGTTTTTATATGAGGCTGCGCTACGCTTGGTTGCTTCTCAAGTTGACAAAGGTCTGTATGGCTTCAGTCAAGCGATTCAAGCTGACTTAGGCCAATACAGACCTATACTTTTTTTTTGTTTAGGTATTGCGCCTTTTTGTGACTTCATGTTAGCTATAACTGCAGCGGCGTCAACTCTATTGACGGTTTCTTCACCTGGTTTTGATTTATCATTTTGGTCTAATCGCAGTTCTAACCTTGTACCTGGGCCAGTGTAATTATGACCCGGAAGATGTTTTTCTCTGGGAAGAGAGCCTAATGATTTTTGAATGTCAGAACCGAAATAGGTTTTAGGAGTTTGAGCAATTATCATTTACATTTTTATCCAATGATTTTAAAACCATTGCCTTTTTTGTTTTCTAATCTTTTATTTCGCATTTCTCTTATACGTTGTAATTCTTTTAACTCGTTAGATCTTTTCACTGCATCGCTTATATTTACTCCTGCTTTTGCTACAGATCCAAGAGCTTGGGCTTCTGAGCAAAATAAGGGATTTGTTGTTTGAGACAAAGATGGCTACTTTTGGGATGGGCTTCTGAGGAAATAAAGGATTTGTTGTTTGAGACAAAATTGGCTACTTTTGGGATGAGAGAGGATAGAGCTGAGAGGAAACCATCTCCTTCGACTTTGTGTTGTTCGTGTTTTAAAATTAAACTCATTCTGTTTTTAAATGAGTTAATTTGAAGATATTATTGGCCTGGGGCGCTTGGGGTTGTTAAACGCGTACCCCTATAGGCTCCGGATTTATTAACCGCGTGCCTGGTTGGGTTGTTTGTTTGGTGGGCTTGGGGGCGCCGCAGGCAAAAGAATAGTATAAGAGTATATAGATAGGGGGCACTTTTGTATAATTCATAAAAAAGAAAAATCACCTTTTGACGTTAGGACATTATATAAATTATACAAAAGTGCCCTCTATCTATATACTCTTATACTAGTCATGATTACAGATGAAAAATTCGACAATATTTAACAAATGACACAATAATATGGAAAAGGAATCTTGCGTGAAGCAATAAGTTGCGAGAAATACATGATGTGCTCTCGGAAAATTGAAGCGACTAGAGTTCTAAAATTACAAAATATGCAGGTAAATAACAAGGAATGTTTGAAGTATAATTTCTGATTTCGGTATTTATAGACCTTCCTATCCCAACAAAACACAAGATACACAGATGATACACAATTAAAATCAAATTATAGATGTTTTCCTCTTCTGGCTCCATGTACCTCCTGTGTTCTCAATAAAATGTAACTGACTGCGCAATAAGGAAGAGTGGGAAAAATGAGATGACGTTCTGATTTGCACATGCTACTTAAGCATTTGGGAGAATATTATGTTGTGCTATTTAATATAGAGCGTTTACGAGCTAAAAATTGAACGCGTTTTCAAGAACAAGGCCAATAACTCATACTAATTATTTTTCGATTAGTTTGATTTTCAATAGGGTTCATCCTTGGGAGATTACTAACTCAAACCAAGTTTCATCTAAATCCTTCAGGATTTGTGTCTTCTGGAGTGTTTACGAGCTAAAAACTGAACGCGTTTTCAAGAACAAGGGCAATAACTCATACTAAATATTTTTTTCAATTTTTCTGATTTTCATAAAGGTTTATCCTTGGGTGATAACAAACACTCAAACCACGTTTCGTCAAAATCTGTCACGAATTGTGCCTTCTAGAGTGTTTACAAGCTAAAATTGAACGCGTGTTCAAGAACAAGGGCAATAGCTCATACTAATTATTTTTTTATATGGGTGACAACAATATACGCCCCCAATTCATGTGGGCGTATAAAATGCGAGATTTAGGTGCTGCAACACGAAAAGAACACAACATGTGCAGCTCTGGAGGTTCATGGGCTGAAAGATTATGGATTTCTGAATTCTGACCAACCTGCACAAAATGCAACACATATGTCCTTGTGAGGTTCATCAAATGGGTAGTGTTCAAATGTAACTACATAGCATAGGGTCATAGAAAGTAGCCTTTAAAGGAGCCATGTTGCATATTTTATAAATGGTTTCTAATAGAGGGGCACACGAGCGATTTTGTTCGCCCGATCGCGGCGAATTTAAAAAATCGATCCAAAATTCGATCAGCAGTGTCGATGGTGCCCGAAAGAATCGCCGGTATAAAAATGATACATATTTTTAGCTGATTATTTTCGCCGGCAATAGACCATTTTACGGTTATTCGCGCACTAGGAATTATGGGATTGATTAAATCATAAAACATGACGGCGGCCATATCGTTCAATGCTTTTCACCTATAGTATGGTATTGTACCGCATTAAAAGGAATTTGTAGAGAAAACAACCTTGTGACATGCGGTAAAAGGAAAGCAAAAACGAATGCTTATCATAAATTCCAGCTCGGAATCACTCTTAGTATGAAATTTAGGAAGAAATTTCCATTAACAGGTGAATTAACAAAATTCATATTGATAATTGTTTGCCTTGATATAATCTACTTATTGAGAATAGATCATAGAGCATTGAGCGCTGTAGTTTACTAGTCATGACGGAATCACGTGATCTTGGACATCATTTATCACTGCTGTTGATTCTTGATCAATTTCCTGCTCAAGTCATAAGGATTGATAGAAATTAATTTGTGTTATCAAAGCGCAATTTATTGTCATACAAGATATATAAATACAAACAAACAAGCACCAAAAAACAAAAGAATAGACCAAAGAGCATTGCGCGCTGTAGTTTACTAGTCATGACGGAATCACGTGATTTGGGACATCATTTATCACTGTTGTTGATTCTTGATCAATTTCGCTGCTCAAGTCATAAGGATTGATAGAAATTAATTTGTGTTCTCAAAGCGCAATTTATTGTCACACAAGATATATAAATACAAACAAACAAGCACCAAAAAACAAGTTTTGATTAGTAGTACTAGAGCAGATTGGTCGCACGGGGATCCCCATTCCATTTCATTTTATGGGGAAAATGCGACCAATCTGTAAGCTCCCAAAAAAGACCTAAACACCCTACTTTCCATCAATTTCCTCCCCAAAAAAGACCTAAACACCCTACATTTCATAAATTCTTACACTAAAAAAGACCTAAACTCCCATAAATTATTACACCTATACTCCCTTACATTTCTTACACCAAAAACACCTTCAATCAATTCCATCAAAAAAGCATATTAAAAATACCCTTTTATAAAAATAACATCCGGTTTTAAAATAGCCTCGTTTTAAATAATGTTATTTTTAGTAGAAGGGAGATAACTCTTTTTTGAAAAAAACTTATTTTCTACTCAAATTTCAAACCTTAAAAATGGCAAATGAAATATAAGATCCAATCTTTAGATTATACGATCCGATTCGTTATTCATTTAACAAGAAAAAAGAGGATTATATTACATCTCACCGACTGTTGGTTCTAAATCCCAATTAAATGATGGTGGTAGAATTACCTTCGAAATAAATTCATTATCGAATTGGTTGCTTATTTCAGATGCGATTTCAAAATCAAAGACGCCACTCAAAATCAAGTTCCACAAACTAATACAACGTTAGAAAACAATTTCTTTCCATCTTTATTTAGCGAGATGGTTTTGGAAGCTGGTTCAAATCCGATAGAAACAATTAAACACCCTAGGTAATTCGACACAATGTTGAAAACAATTATATATCCTAAAGATTTTGATTCAGTCTCAGGTTGGATACCCTATGTTGGTGATGGAAGTGTTTTAAAAGAACCGGTAAGAAATCTTGCAAATGATGCTGATTTAGCTAGAGTGAGAGTTGTTGCTCGAAACACAATACAAAGAGTAGCACGAGCAGCTAATCATGAATTCGAAAAACGAGTAATTCAGTACAATAATATTGTTGAGAATAATAGGTGGGGTAATTACATAAATTGGAAATTATATCCTTTATTGGGTCTGTTGGAAGATAGAAAAGTTTCCATAGGGTTACCATATAAAATTCATCTACAAAGAGAAATCAACGATGATAAGATATTTTTTTGGTGAGAATGGTTCAGATGCAAAATTAGAAATAACGAATCTCCAACTTTTCATACCCGTAATAACACCATCAATTGAAGTAGAAACGAGAATATTCAACTCATTAACTAAAGATATTGAATAGCTTTTTTTCATCGTAATACGGTAGGAAGCATGACTTTAACTGGAGAATCCACCACGTGGCCAATCACTAACACTATTAAACCAGCAAGATATTTAATGGTCGGTTTCAAAATCTTACCAGATTCTCAAACGAATAACAATAATGTCTTCAGAGTGGCAATGAACTAAACTCAAAATCCTTTAATCCATAAAGTTCAAGTAAGATTAAACAACGATAATTATCCTAACCAACCTTTAACAATTAATCCAACCACAAAGGATTATAATGAATTGTATAGAAACAATAAAAACATGTGTGAATTATTTGGAAATCCACCTCAGTTTGAATATGTAGATTTTGCACTTAATCATCCAATCTTCTGTTTTGATCTATCAGCTCATCAAGAAGATCTTTTCAAAACAGGAGTGAACATAAATATTCATATTGAAAAAACACAAGGAGATGTAACCGGTTATTGTTACTACTCGAAGAAGCAAAACATTTAATTAAAATAGCAGATAGAAGAATGATATGAATTGAGTAAAAAATACACCCTTAAAAATGAAACCAGAAACTTTAGTTATGAAAATAATAGAAGCTATTGAAACAGCTTCCCCAGCTGTAATAACTTTCAATGGTAAAAAAATTAACATAACTAAAAACTTATTGATAAATATAAATATTGTAAAGTCAGTGACGATATAGATTTAGAAAGAATTGACGCGAACGCAAAAGAAGGTGGATTTTTACCTTTCCTTCTACCTTTAATATTTGGCGGTATTGCAGCGGCGGAATATCTGCCGCAGTCAAAGCTGCCAACGCAAAGAAAGCAGCTGATCCTAAAGCCGCTGAAGAACGTAGACATAATTTAATAATGGAAAAGGAAGCAAAAGGTTCAGGAGTGGGAGATATGATAGGCACAATAAAATAATTTGGAAAAAGATTTGGGGAAGAAACCAACAAAACTGTTAAACAAGGATTGAATAAATTGGTAGATAGTATTGACACAGGAGAAGTCATAGTCAAACATAAGGGTAATGGAATATTTTTAAAAAATATACACACAGGAGAAGGATTATTTCTTTCAAAGTATAAAGGAGAAGGAGTGATTTTTGGAATAAAATAAAATAATAAAAAATGGGCAAAAAATTTAATCATTCAGAAATATTTCCTAATAACCCAATGCTCATGTGTATATGCGGTAGTTCCGGTTCTGGGTAAACTCATCTCACTTTTAACATGTTGATAACACCAAACCTTTTAGATTTCGATTCTTTGTATATCTACACAACAACACCAGAGCAATCGTATTATCAATCTCTCAAAGCTTTAGAATATCTACCAACGAAAGATGTTCAAGACCTATTTCAATATTACGAAGAAAACGAAGAAGAAGTGGAAATAAAAGATATCATAGATAACTTCATTGAAGCAAAGAATCCAACGGATATAAAAGTTTTTCTTACGAAAAATGTTAATGGCTTAGATTTGTCTAATATTGATAGCAAACGAAAGAACTTAATATTGTTTGACGACTGCGTAGCGCAAAGAAATCAAGCTGTCCAACAAGAATTCTTCACGAAAGGAAGACATCACAACTGTCACTGTATATACCAATCTCAATCTTTTTACGGGATGGATTCTATGTTCATTAGAAAAAATGCAAAATGTTTTTCATTATTTGAATTAAACGATAAAGATTCATCTCAAATCATTCAGTCGATAAATCACGGAATGGACAGAGATGCATTTAAAAAGGTTTGTAAAGCTTAATGGAAAAACCCAAATGATCATGGATATATATTCGTTAATACTAGAAAGAGTTATAACAGACATTTATTAAATTTTATTTTTTTAAAAATGAGTAGCGATTGGAATAATATTTTAAAAAGAAATAAAAAATATATCAAAGCTAAGAATAAAATAAAGACATAGTTGAAAATAACAGATTACAACAACTTGGATTAACAGAAAATCTGCAAACTCTATTTCATCCCATATTAAAATCTCAAGAGTATATTAAAAAGAAATTAGCTTTAGAATATAAACCTCCGATAGAACCTCATAAAGATCACCCAGAACCGAATCCATATGGTGGTATTATATTTCGGGGAAGGGAGGGTTTGATTCTCCCAAATGTACAGGCCTAGGGTGGAGCAGACACTTTATTTAGAAATTAGGATTAAGGGTCTTGATATTGGGTTTTCTTCTGTTCTTATTCTGATCTGAAATTAGAAAAAATAACTCGCCCGATGGGCGAGAAGTATAGTATCTGTTATGTACTGATTGTTTTTAGTTTACTATGAACAATATTTATCATTTAAGTTCTTATTTTTTGAATATGCAACTATCATTTTCTGCTTATAGACATGGGGGAATTTCTCTTGAAGGCTCTTATAGTGGGCATGAACTATCTTGCTTGCTCGATTGCTGGTTGTATTAAACGGGACAACAAAGGGTGCTATGCCTACATTATGATGAATATTTAGTCCTATAGGTCTTGCTGTATTCAATGTCTCAATCCAATGGGCCTCCCTAGATTGACGGAATTTGGTAGTTTCATCTTCGGGCAAGTCAATTTCTATACGCTCAATTGGGATTAGGGTGAGATCGTCTATTGAATGGTCGTCGAGGTTGAAATGATTAGAAACAGACTTGTCTTTCTTTAATTTGATGTCTGACCTATGAGCATTAAAGCGAGTTCGTAAATTATTCTTAGTTTCTCCTACATATTGTTTGGGGCATTTCTTGCATGAAATTAAATATATTACAATCGAATGTTCACATGTTAGATGTTCCTGGATCGGGTACCTTTTATTCGTAGAGTTGCTTACAAAATAATGAGTTTCTGATATAAAGGGACATGTTTTGCATCTACTGGACAAACATGGAGCACTTCTTAAACCTGGAGGTACTTCGGCATAAAGTCTGTTTTTAGCTGCTATCTGTGCTAAGGTGGAATTTTTTATGTTTCGTAAAAATTGTTTAGAGTACCCAACGCTCTTTCAGTTTTGAGAAAACAATCGTACAGGCTTGGTTGAAATCAGAAGATCTTGTACAAATTCGATGAAATCGTAAAACTTGTGACTTAATTATACCAGAAAAGGTATGTTTTGGGTGAAAGGAGCTCTTGTGCAAGAGTTGATGAGTATCAGTTACTTTGAAATACACTTTAATATCCAGTTTATTTGTTTCTGCTATGGAATCTCCCTTAAAGACTGTGGTATCGAGAAAGTCTATGCTTTTGTCACTCACGTTTGCGGTTAGTTTGATAGAAGGATGGTGGTTGTTGAGAATTTCAAAGAATTCCCAAAACTGTTCGATAGAATAAGTCCAAACCATAAAAATGTCATCCAAAAAGCGTCCGTAAAAAAGTAGGTCAAATGGACAGAGGGGCAACACCTCACTTTCCCACTCTGCCATTAGGACATTAGATGATATTAATAGTCTTTTTTCAAAGCAGTATTACACCAATCATTGATGATGAGGGGTTATTGTTTAATGGATTTAGAATTAAATTTAAGTCAAATTCCCCTATATTCAAAATCGATACAAAAAACTTAATATTTACATTAACAAAAGGATTAATAGATTTAATGAATGGCGGGTATATTGGCATTGCCGATTACAAGGATTTACTAGCATACTCAAAATTTCTACATGCAATAAGAAAGTCGGGACCCGAAACAAAAAGATCTAAAGCAGTTGAAAGATATATAAAAAAAAGTTATTCCTGATGAATATGAAGTTGATGAAGCAGATGATGAATATGAAGATGAGGTATCAGATGATTATGCTGAAGACAATTCAATTACACAAGAAATAGACGAATTTAGTCTTAAACGCTCACCTATACGTCTGTAAACACGAGCACGACCATCATTTTTGTAAAGATAAAACCTACTCTCGTCCGTGAACATCACACGTTGCCAATCACGAATCTGCCATCGCCGAACTCTCCTGGCCCATGTCAATCGACGACATCGGTGTTGAAGTGTCATGTGCACTCCGTGGTAGGGGCGACGTGCTCGGATACCACGTTCCCTCAGTCGCTGGTACACTGTGTGTCGACTGATACGATGTCCCAATGCCGCCGATGCCGTTGCTGTTGCAGTAACGAAACGATTCCTCAGATGAATTGTCCTGATGTGGCGGTCCTCACCTGGCGTTGTGACACGTGGTCGACCACCCCTAGGCCTGTCTGATGTACTGCCTGTCTGCCTCAAACGCTGCATCAATTTTGTTACAGTTTTTCTGGAGCAGCCAAAGGTTCTTGCGATCAAGGTGATGTTTGCTCCATGTTGCGCCATTCCCACAGCTCTTTCTCTTTCAATCCGGCTCAAACGTGACATACTTTTTGTGTTTTTCTTTATCCTCTGTTGCTAGTAGTATATGAGCTTACACTTTGGTCGCATAGGGATTCCCCATTTCATTTCATGGGGAAAATGCGACCAATGTGTAAGCTCCCAAAAAAGACCTAAACTCCCTACATTTCAAAAGACATCCTACATTTCATAAAGCATCCTACATTTCATAAATTCTTACATTAAAAAAGACCAAAAAACACCTTCAATCAATTTCCTACATTCCATCAAAAAAAGCTTATTAAAAATACCCTTATATAAAATAACATCCTTGTTTCGCTTAACATCCGGTTTTTAATAGTCTCGTTTTAAATAATGTTATTTTTAATCTAGAAACTTCTAGAAAAGGGACTCTTGTTTTGGAAAAAAAACAGACCACAATTTCTTCGTTAAATTAACTCATTTAAAAATAGGATGAGTTTAATTCTAAAACACGAACAACACAGATTCGAAGATTATTCGGGCGACGGTATCTTTTCTTCATTATTTTCTCTAGGTAAAACAATAATTCCAAAAGTAGCTAGCTTTGTTTCAAAAAATAAATCACTCATTTCAACCGGAGCGAAAGCCATCGGCTCAATCGCGGAAGCCGTAAAGAGTATAAGCGACACAGTGAAACAATCTAACGAGTTGAAAGAATTACAGCTAATAAGAGAACTTCGAAACAGGAGATTAGAAGAAAGGAAAGGAAAAGGTATTAAATTTATAGGATAAAAATGATAGTCGCTCACGCTCCAAAAACTTATTTCGGTTCAGGAGATATACAAAAATCATTGGGTTCTCTTCCTGGATTTCCATGGGCGAAATATCCCGGAGAAAAACATCTTCCCGGTCATAATTTCACCGGTCCAGGTACTAGGTTAGATCTGCGATTAGACGAAAACGATAAACCCAAACCAGGGGAAGAACCAGTCAATAGAGTTGACGCCGCTGCGCTTAAACACGACATACTATACAGAAATAAAGACATAAACTTCAGACACGAAGCAGACAGACAAATGATAATCCAACTTGAAAATATTCCAAATCCTACTTTCAAAGAGAGAATGCAAAGAGCATTAATCATTAAACTGTTAAAAGCAAAGATGAAATTAGGCATGGGATTGGCGGATGAAATTCATAAAGAATTTAGAAAAACTAAAAACTTTTTAAAAATTAAAGTGTTTGAAAAAGATGAAATATGGTCGGCCGATTTAATTCATATTCCAGTCGAAAGAGGATTTAAATATTGCTTAACAGTTATAGATTTGTATACGAGATATGCTTGGGTTATTCCTTTGAAAAACAAAACATGATTATCAGTCAAACACGCATTTGAAACGATTATGAAACAATCTAACCGACATCCAGAAAAACTGTGGGTAGATAAAGGAAGTGAATTTTATAACAAAAATATGAAATCTCTGGGATTTGAAATTTACAGCACGCATAATGAAGGTAAAGCTGTAGTTATTGAGAGATATAACAGGACTCTAAAAAATAAATTATTTAAAAAGTTCACGGAATTGAAATCTCAAAAATGGCTTAAAATATTACCAGAGGTTGTAGATGAATACAATAACAAAATTCATTCATCTATAGGTGTCACACCAACACAAGCCTCGAGTAATCCAAATATTATAAAGTCAATTAACGCGCAACATAACTACGAAAATGAAATACAGAATTTAAATATCAAACCCAAATTTAAAGTCGGATTTTCAAATATAAAAGCTAATTCGAAAAAGGTTACGTTGGATACTGGACAACGAAGAAGATGAAGAATTTGATAGAAGATTAAGAGATGTAGACAAGCATTAACGCTTTCTTAAATTTAAATTTAAATGCAAATTTCTGTTCAAAATATTATTGAATGTGTTTTATCAGAATGTAATACAATTTTTTTCAAACACAAACTACGTATATATTTAAAAAAAACCGACTTTTAAAAATGAATGAATATGGAACCGATACAACCACAAACTTTCAACTTATGAGATGGGCAAATGAGTTAAATATATCACCGTTTTATTATTGTATGAGAGATGAAACAAATGATCTGAAATATAAGAAAGGTAAATTTTACGCGATAACAAATATACATACTTCCGATCAAAAAGGAGTTCATCATTCTGCTTTGTACAAAGACTCTGGCTTATATTTCTTCGATTCTTACGGATTAGAACCTACTGAAGAGATAATGCAATTGACTAATAAACCAATCAAATGTTCTTCCTTTCAAATTCAATTACCGGGACAAAAGTTTTGTGGTCAGCTTTCACTTTGGGTTTTATGTCAGTTGAGTTTAGGAAAACAATTCGAAGAAATTGTAATAAATTTAACTCAATAAAAATGGCCAACAAGTTTGGATTAGGTTCTTTATCTTTAGAAACTAAAAAATCTAACACTACAGCGTGGATAAATAAAGCGAAACCTTACTTTGTGGATCAAATCGGAGACACTCTTCAAGGTGATTTAGATATGAACAATTTCAAAGTAACAAATTTAAAGTCTCCGGAAAACGATAATGACGCTGTTCACAAGAAATATTTACGGGAACAAATAAATTCAATTGAAGTAAATAAAAAACCTTTTCTGGTATAATTAAGTCACAAGTTTTACGATTTCATCGAATTTGTACAAGATCTTCTGATTTCAACCAAGCCTGTACGATTGTTTTCTCAAAACTGAAAGAGCGTGGGTACTCTAAACGATTTTTACGAAACATAAAAAATTCCACCTTAGCACAGATAGCAGCTAAAAACAGACTTTATGCCGAAGTACCTCCAGGTTTAAGAAGTGCTCCATGTTTGTCCAGTAGATGCAAAACATGTCCCTTTATATCAGAAACTCATTATTTTGTAAGCAACTCTACGAATAAAAGGTACCCGATCCAGGAACATCTAACATGTGAACATTCGAATGTAATATATTTAATTTCATGCAAGAAATGCCCCAAACAATATGTAGGAGAAACTAAGAATAATTTACGAACTCGCTTTAATGCTCATAGGTCAGACATCAAATTAAAGAAAGACAAGCCTGTTTCTAATCATTTCAACCTCGACGACCATTCAATAGACGATCTCACCCTAATCCCAATTGAGCGTATAGAAATTGACTTGCCCGAAGATGAAACTACCAAATTCCGTCAATCTAGGGAGGCCCATTGGATTGAGACATTGAATACAGCAAGACCTATAGGACTAAATATTCATCATAATGTAGGCATAGCACCCTTTGTTGTCCCGTTTAATACAACCAGCAATCGAGCAAGCAAGATAGTTCATGCCCACTATACGAGCCTTCAAGAGAAATTCCCCCATGTCTATAAGCAGAAAATGATAGTTGCATATTCAAAAAATAAGAACTTAAATGATAATATTGTTCATAGTAAACTAAAAACAATCAGTACATAACAGATACTATACTTCTCGCCCATCGGGCGAGTTATTTTTTCTAATTTCAGATCAGAATAAGAACAGAAGAAAACCCAATATCAAGACCCTTAATCCTAATTTCTAAATAAAGTGTCTGCTCCACCCTAGGCCTGTACATTTGGGAGAATCAAACCCTCCCTTCCCCGAAAACTAAACTACAACAAGAGGTAAAAAGATTAATAAGTTTTATTCAAAAAGAATTGGTCAACGTAGCGAATAAAACTGAGTTACAAAATTTAATTTCATTAATATCTAAATTAGAGGATAAGATTGCAAATCAAAAATGAGACATTCAACAATTGATAGATAACATTCCAGATGAAAATGAAGATACGTTTCAACAGGAATTAAATGCTCTGGAAACTAAACTTAACAGTGAATTACAAAAAGAACTAACAAATATTTAAAAACAAATACAAAACATAGATGATAGCGAAATCAAAACCTATATTCATCAACAAATACAGAACATTGATGATAGTGTTATTCAACAACAGATAACCACTATTAATAACCTAGTTTTGAAACAGGACAAAAATATAGTCGCATTAGAAAAAAAGTTTCTCAAGAAAGAATCATATTATTTCAATCTTCCATTTGGAAATTTTACTGATACAAATGAATCTATTACTAATAATATTGATAGAACAGTAATATATAAATATAAAAAATATGGATTTTCAGTAAATATAAGAGTATTTTCTGTTGAAGGTTATGTTCCCCCCCCCCCCCCCTACAAATCTTTGGATCATATTATCCTTTCCGAGGAAAAATTGTAATTTAAATTAATTTTCCTATCCAGGTAAAAGTTGATTCAATATTCTTCAAACAAGGATCACATTCATCTAATCAATTTACGCTCAAAAAGTTCTTCAGTTTATCAATGGTAGAGACAATGTAGAAATTAAAGAATATGAAATTAACGACGAAAACAACAAGATTAATCACTTATATGAAATTAAAACGAGTGGAAAATATATAGATATGTTTAGAATGTTAATCATACCAGATAAAGAAGATGATTATTTTTCATTGAGTGATTTCGATATGGTATTGGAGACGGAAACTACACCATCAATGAATATTTTTAGAAATCCAGAACCACAAAAAGAAGATATAAGCAGTTATCAGTTTTTACGAGCAACAGACTTTGAATACGTAAAACTATATTTGGTTAATAAAAGTTTTTCACACAAATATAGCTCTTCAACTGATTTATTTACCTCAATCGATATTCATAAAAGTCAACAAGATAAATATAAGAGCATGATTTTCCCCAAGGCATGTTTGATAGTGATTGTCCAAGATATTTTACTTTCCGAGGAAACATTATAATTGAAATTAATTTTCCTATCCAGGTAAAAGTTGATTCAATATTCTTCAGACAAAAATTACTTTCATCTAATCAATTCATCGCTCGTAAAGTCTTTCAGTTTATCAATGGTACAGAAAATGTGGAAACTAAAGAATTAGAAATTAACGACGAAAACAGCAAGAATGATCACTTAAATGAAATTAAAACGAGTGGAAAATATATAGATAGGTTTAGAATGTTAATCACTAGATAAAGAAGATGATTATTTTTCATGATATTGGAAACGGAAAGTCCACCATCAGCAAGTATTATTAGAAATCCACAAAAAGAAGATACAACAACCAGTTATCAGTTTTTAGGAACGACAGACTTTGAACACGTAAAACTATATTTTGTTAATAATAGTTATTCATTCAAACATTCCTCTTAAACTGATTTATTTACCTCAATCGATATTCATAAAAGTCAACAAGATAAACAATTTATAATATTTTCATCAATAATTGAACGTAATGGTAGATTAGAAGTTGGAGATATATATACTTGTAGATGTATGATAAAAATCAATATCGAAAAACCAAAATTTTCAGTTCCTCTAAATAAGATTAATGATTCGAAAGAACAAATATCCTTAGTAACTTTAAAAGTTTTTTTTATTAAACCTGAAATAATTATAACAGATAATGAAAAAATAAAGAATGCACAACTTATTGGGAAACCTATTGTAGATCTTAAACACTTTCCATCTTTTGGTTTATCAGAAATTCACTTAATTTAATTACCCAAAAAATGGAACTCGAAAGCAGACAACAATATATGATAGAAAAACAAAACGAACTAAAAGAAAAACTAAAACAATTCAACAAATGTAGAAAAAACATGGAGTAGAATCGATTCTGTTTTCAAAACATTAAGTACAGTTCTAACAGTAGGGATAACGGTGGCAACAGCCGTAACCGGTGGATTAATGCTTCCAATAATTGTCCCAACTGTATTAGCCGCGTTCACTGCCGTTCAAATTTCATCTTGTGGATTGATTACTTTAGGTTTTACATCAAAACAGAAAGCTCATTATAAAAGGAAAACAGAAATTTTAAGTACATATCTTAATAAATTATTCATTTTTTTCGAAAGATCGAGAGAAGACAAGAACATAACAGTTGAAGAATTATAAAAATTCAATGAAATTTTAGATAAATTTGATGTAGAAATATCATCAATAAAAGTTAAAAATTCCTAGTTAAAAATAGTTGCTTTAAAAATATGAATAAAATTGAAATTTTAGACGATAAAAAATTCATATCAATTAAAATTTTAGACGATGTTATTGACAAGATTATCTCTGATGAATTAAAAAATATGAATAAAATTGAAAAATTCATATCAAATGAACGTTTTTGCAATGTTATTAAGCTTATCACTGATGAATTTTTAACATTTAAAGGGCAAATTGAATTAGATGGAGAGATAACTCAAGATGGAGGATATAAACAAGGCATGCAATTTGTAGCTTTTAATACCAAAACTTTTCGCAATTTCTTCGCTAGAGTGGATATAAAATCGGATACTTCTGATTGGTATTTCACAGGAAAAATGATTTTCCGTAAAAACAATTTCAAAGAAATAAAAAGATCAAAAAAAGGGTAGTGGTGTTATCCTACTCAAAAAGATAAATGAATATATCGGTATAAATTGTTATATACCGAGCGATGGATACTGCTTTGTAAAGTGTGTTAATCGTGTTTTAAACGAAGAGAGATTTTCAAGATTTCATCAACAGTTTTTCAAAATCAAACAGAAAAGGAGTTATGACAACTGCTAGAATCTGTGAATTCAATAAGAAATTTAATGCTTATTTTCAAATTTATATGCCCAAACATAGACATTTTCAACCAAAGAAAGTATCCGAAGAATTAGATTGGGTACTTTATTTACACAAAGAACATTTCTGTTTGATAAGAAGAATTAACAAAACCTTAGGCATTAAAGAAATAGAAAATAATTACGATGAAAATGTATGGAGAACTTGTAAAGATGATAATGCGGTAACGCAAGTTTCACCTCTAAAACTAAACGTTTTTCCAACCATTCCCGGTGATTGTTTATACGCATGGGATTGCGAAACCTATAACGAAAATAAAGCCATACCTTATTCTTGCACGTTAATTAATTTAGAAAAACTAAGAAAAATGTTAAACAGAATAAATAATCTCTTTCCAGATTTAAAGCCGACAGATCCCATTCCAGAAGAATTTTACAACAAACTCATGACTAATATAGTATAAATATTTGTAGGTACAGATTGCATCGATCAAATGTTACAACGTTTAGGAAAAATAGATCAAAAAAGAATAACATTAATTGCTCATAACGCTAGCGGTTTTGATAACTGGATCATGATCAAAAATGTAAAAAAATTGTCAATTGCGTAAGTGTTTGTTTTACTTGTTATAATTTTTCACATCATTGTTAGCGTTATTTATCACCTAAATATATATTTTTGCATTTTTTATCATAACTTTCATCTTACTTTATATATCCCCAAACCCAGTTTGACTTATTTGCATAATTTGATCCCAACATTTTCACGCTAGCATATACAGTTTCCTCCCGTTACATCCGCTGTACATTCCCTTCTAACCTCAAGTTATTTTCATTATGCTCCCCAACTACAACAACCACTGGCAAGAAGCCAGACATAGAAACACTAATCGTCAACCAAACCAATATCACGTACCCTACAACGGCCCTGTCTTCCATCGACCTCTACCACCTACCAATCGCCGACCACCAACCAACCCATCCAGCTATATCCCACCCCATCGCCGACCTACCTACAACACAGCCTACCAATCAAGAGGTAACCATCGACCTGACCAACAACAGAAACGACTACCAGCCCACCGACGCCAACCAGTCCCCACTACTCATAAGGAGGAAGAACCCTTTGTGAAAGGGTTCTTCCAAGTTTTGCAGTGCCTCCATCATTTGGCAATCCTTACCCTTCAACAGCAAGGCCAACCAGCGTTTACCTTCAAACGCAAAGTCTCTGAGTTGGATAGTTTTATCCGTCCAGCAATAAAAACATCAGCTGTCGACGCGAATATTAGATCCCTCAATCGGACATGGCTCTGTAAGGTTACGCAGGTCCTGATCGACCATTACCAAACCACACTTCAAGAGAAGCTGACCACCATTCGTACCAAGTCTTTATCATCACCTGCCGTCGACCGCATCGTTTCTCATGCCCTGTCCTGGGCCCGTCGCTCCCATGGGAAACGTCTCACTCAAGCTGTAATCTCCAAATTCTACCAAACAATCAACGAAACAAAAACCAGAGTAACCATATCTCTACCAACTGAAATGGACACTACACCTGCACCATCTAGAGCCACCACGCTGCCGAACCAAACCCCTAAACGAGCCCGAAGTTCATCTACTCCTAGTCCAGCAGACATAGGTAAACACCCCTTCTCTTTTCACTTTCAGACTCGTCTTCCCCTTCCACACCATCTGAATCTTCACCACGTAATCCAGGATCCGCCAACCTTTCTTCCTTCTGTGCGTTTTTGGACCAGCAAACCACCCCTCAGTCTCCATCCAAGTCGAGACGTGTATCCAGACCTTCCCCCCCTCGAACCAGATCCCAGTCCGTTCCCAATGCTACAATTCTAACAACTACCAAACCAGTACCAATCACACCGTCGACGACCGTTATATCCGCTACCAAACCGTATTATCACCAAACCAAGGACAAATCATTATGGAAGCTACCTGCTCTAAAGAAATCTACCTTAATAATTGGATCATCTAACCTGAATCGAATTACCAAAACCAGTTCAGACACCGAAATACATTCTTACCCCGGTGCCCAAATCCATCACATACAGTCAATCCTGGAATCATACGACCATGATCCCAAACCTACTACCATTATTCTTCATGTAGGCCTCAGCAACCGTGATCAGCTACCAAAGACCTCCTTTAACCAAGCCCAGAAATTAATCGCCACAGCCAACAAAACCTTCCCAAACTCCAAGATCCTCTTCACATGTATACCCATTTCAAACAAAATCTCGAAGAAAGCACAACAGAACCTCAGAACTGTCAACAACATGATGATGGAGTCCAGTATCAACAGCGGAACAATCTTACCACCCTACGAAGAGAATTCGAACCAGTTGATAATCTTCATTGGTCTCCAGAAACAGCAAACAGCATCTATTTGTTTTGGATACACAAGCTTCAAGCATCGAGTAAGTCTTTAAACTAATTACTGGGGATAAAAATACTGAGAGGCCACCGCTAGGCCAAACTGTAATTAACTTGAGCCGCAAAATTCTCACACCCCTTCAGCATTCAATCTTAGACCGTGGACTTAAGTTTATTCCCACACCAAAGATAGCTAACTTGAATTATCTCCGACCATCCATTGAACGATTTCAACGAAATCTTAGCTGCACATATTTTTTTCGAAACCACCCCCACGTGGTGCTAGAACAATGTTTATTCCTAAATCCACGTGGACACCCCCTCAGGCCGCCATCCATCCTGAAATATTGAAAGCATTTGCAAGTATGAATAGCCAAACAGTGAACCTTTCCATAACACACGAAAAGCCTAATCTCACACGAGTGGAACGTGAAGCGTTAAACTTACTTAAGAAAGACGACAACATTGTTATTAAAAAGAGTGACAAAGGTTCATGTTGAGTCATTCTGAATAGGGAGGATTACGTTTCAGAAGCAGAGAATCAACTGAATAATCCCAAACATTATGCCATTTTACCGAAACCAATTTTCAAAGAAACTGCTAACATGATTAATAACATTCTTGCCGATTTAGTCAAAAGTAGTTATCTCAAACAGAAACAATATGACTATCTGTCTGCCAAACCTGATTGTCGCGAGAGACATTTGTACACTTTGCCTAAAATCCATAAGAATCCAACCAAGGAGTGGTTTATCTCGAATAAAATCCCTAAAGGCCGCCCGATTCTATCTGACTGTGGTAGTGAGTCATATGCAGTGTCAGAATACATTGATCATTTCTTACTACCTACCTTAAAGACACAACCGATTTTGTCAATAAAATAAAAAATCTTCGAGTTCCCTGTAATGCTATTTTAATTTCTATCGACGTTTCTTCTATGTATACCAATATCGATAACACTACTGGTTTAACGGCAGTTCGTAAAGCTTTTAATAGAAACCCAGATCCAAACAGACCCGACGATGCAATTCTACAGCTTTTAGAGATTTGTCTTAGTCTAAACGATTTCACATTTAATGGTAAAACATATTTACAAACTTCAGGGACAGCAATGGGCAAACGATTCGCCCCTTCGTACGCAAACCTTTTCATGGCAGAGTGGGAACGTGAGGTGTTGCCCCTCTGTCCATTTGACCCACTTTTTTACGGACGCTTTTTGGATGACATTTTTATGGTTTGGACTTATTCTATCGAACAGTTTTGGGAATTCTTTGAAATTCTCAACAACCACCATCCTTCTATCAAACTAACCGCAAACGTGAGTGACAAAAGCATAGACTTTCTCGATACCACAGTCTTTAAGGGAGATTCCATAGCAGAAACAAATAAACTGGATATTAAAGTGTATTTCAAAGAAACTGATACTCATCAACTCTTGCACAAGAGCTCCTTTCACCCAAAACATACCTTTTCTGGTAGATTAAGTCACAAGTTTTACGATTTCATCGAATTTGTACAAGATCTTCTGATTTCAACCAAGCCTGTACGATTGTTTTCTCAAAACTGAAAGAGCGTGGGTACTCTAAACGATTTTTACGAAACATAAAAAATTCCACCTTAGCACAGATAGCAGCTAAAAACAGACTTTATGCCGAAGTACCTCCAGGTTTAAGAAGTGCCCCATGTTTGTCCAGTAGATGCAAAACATGTCCCTTTATATCAGAAACTCATTATTTTGTAAGCAACTCTATGAATAATAGGTACCCGATCCAGGAACATCTAACATGCGAACATTCGAATGCAATACATTTAATTTCATGCAAGAAATGCCCCAAACAATATGTAGGAGAAACTAAGAATAATTTACGAACTCGCTTTAATGCATATAGGTCAGACATCAAATTAAAGAAAGACAAGCCTGTTTCTAATCATTTCAACCTCGACGACCATTCAATAGACGATCTCACCCTAATCCCAATTGAGCGTATAGAAATTGACTTGCCCGAAGATGAAACTACCAAATTCCGTCAATCTAGGGAGGCCCATTGGATTGAGACATTGAATACAGCAAGACCTATAGGACTAAATATTCATCATAATGTAGGCATAGCACCCTTTGTTGTCCCGTTTAATACAACCAGCAATCGAGCAAGCAAGATAGTTCATGCCCACTATAAGAGCCTTCAAGAGAAATTCCCCCATGTCTATAAGCAGAAAATGATAGTTGCATATTCAAAAAATAAGAACTTAAATGATAAATATTGTTCATAGTAAACTAAAAACAATCAGTACATAACAGATACTATACTTCTCGCCCATCGGGCGAGTTATTTTTTTCTAATTTCAGATCAGAATAAGAACAGAAGAAAACCCAATATCAAGACCCTTAATCCTAATTTCTAAATAAAGTGTCTGCTCCACCCTAGGCCTGTACATTTGGGAGAATCAAACCCTCCCTTCCCCGAAAACTAAACTACAACAAGAGGTAAAAAGATTAATAAGTTTTATTCAAAAAGAATTGGTCAACGTAGCGAATAAAACTGAGTTACAAAATTTAATTTCATTAATATCTAAATTAGAGGATAAGATTGCAAATCAAAAATGAGACATTCAACAATTGATAGATAACATTCCAGATGAAAATGAAGATACGTTTCAACAGGAATTAAATGCTCTGGAAACTAAACTTAACAGTGAATTACAAAAAGAACTAACAAATATTTAAAAACAAATACAAAACATAGATGATAGCGAAATCAAAACCTATATTCATCAACAAATACAGAACATTGATGATAGTGTTATTCAACAACAGATAACCACTATTAATAACCTAGTTTTGAAACAGGACAAAAATATAGTCGCATTAGAAAAAAAGTTTCTCAAGAAAGAATCATATTATTTCAATCTTCCATTTGGAAATTTTACTGATACAAATGAATCTATTACTAATAATATTGATAGAACAGTAATATATAAATATAAAAAATATGGATTTTCAGTAAATATAAGAGTATTTTCTGTTGAAGGTTATGTTCCCCCCCCCCCCCCCCCCAAATCTTTGGATC